CACATTATGACTTTACATCCCTGAACAGGTTAATGACATTTTTACTGCATGTGTTCCACATTCATTTACATCAGGAGCAAAACGAGGAGCGTAAATGAGAAATGTTGAGTTCATGGGAAGTTCCAAAGAATCCTGAACCCACAGTTTCACTTTCAGCTCCGAGACTGGGAGCAGGTTCCACAGACAGGAACGCTCTGCTCCTGTTCCACTTTGGACATTTCTAAGAAACACAAGTAAAGCAGTCTGAGAGCAACGTGCTCTAGTGGGAAAGTATGGCACCATGACACTTGAACATGTGACACTTAGGACAAACAAAAGTCTTAATTCTGGAAAACATGGCTTTGGATTTGCTCTGCCCTGTTTAACTTCGTGCTCTCTAGAAAGACTTTGGTTAATAAATGGTTATTAAATAATTGATTTTTAAGTCTCAAAATTCACACTGATCTCATGTGATTATCCCCACCATGACTTCACTAATGTCCCACAATTTAGCGGCCAGTTCCTGATCCGTGGCTTTGTCCAAAAGAACCTGAGGCTGACAATCCGCAAAGCACTTTCCTTGCACATTGTCAACATCCGGGCTAGAAGCTACATAGACGGATGTCTGCGCTCCTTCTTCGGGGCTCCTAAACAAGCTTCGGGACAGCAGGTCAAAAAGCGGCCTAACAAACACAGCGATGTGGACGTGCCTCCCCAGGTTAGTCCTCACTATGCCCGGAGTCACAGCGTTCGCTGTCACTCCGCTGCCCTCCAGGCGACGGGCAAGCTCACAGGTGAACAACAGGTTGGCTAGTTTGCTGCGACTGTAGGCAAAAGCTTTGTCATACGACTTCTCGCTGCTTAGGTCCTCGAAGTTTATGTAACCGTGTTTATAGAGCTTGGAAGAGACCACCACTATGCGGCTAGGAGCTGATCGTTTCAGAAGGTCCAGCAACAAATGGGTGAGCAGGAAATGTCCCAGATGGTTGACTCCAAACTGCATCTCAAAGCCATCCTCTGTCCTGGTGTAAGGACACTGGTAGATACCGGCATTGTTGATCAGCACATCTAGCCGAGGTTCCTCCTGTTTAACAGCAAAGAGGAGAACAGATTATTTCGTACACGGTGTACTTTTACTACTAGAAACGCACTCGATATAAAACAGGTCTGTGGCGCATGTGCAGCATAAATGAGCTTCCTCCAAAGAGTGGATGAGCTCATTCAGGACGACAGCCGCTACATACTTAGAAAACCAGTGATTTATTCCCACACTGCAGAGCTGCTCCCAATTTTAGGATGCCGCCACCTGCCAAATTCCAATTTAACCTATTTTACCACCAGGAAGAAATATAAATATTGTTAATTAACTACAAGCATTCAGTGGTATGTAACCCAGTACTGTGGACTGTCCAGTAGGGGTGGGGGAAAAATGGATACTGTGTAG